GTAAGCTCCCTCCAAGTACTGGCAGGCTGCAATGAGGTCTCCCCGCAGCCTTCTCTTCTCCAAGCTGAACAAGCCCAGCTCCCTCAGCCTGCCTTCACAGCAGAGGTGCTCCAGCCCTCTGAGCATCCTCATGCCCTCCTCTAGACCCGCTCCAGCAGCTCCGCATCCTTCCTGTCCTGGGGCCCCCAGGCCTGGGCACAGCACTGCAGGTGGTATATTTCCAGCCTGTGATCTGGCCTGCACAAATGTAGGCATTCTGACACCCTTTTGATAAACTATTTTCAAACTGTCTGTGGTGTGAAACACTTTATAAATGCTTGTTAATTTCCATTTTAGACACACTACCTCATTTATGGGAAGGGGTTTCAGACATGGGAGTACTCTCCAGCCTATGCCATCCGCTCCTATGCGTACCTGTGGCTTCATGCCCTACCAGCCTTGTTCCACGCTAGAGTCCTGCAGACTAACAAGGTAAATCAGATACATCAGAATTGCTTTGTGGTGAATAAATGCACCTTTAGTTTGTAGTACACAGCTGCTTTGTTTGTTGTCAGAATTAGGAAACAAATCAGTGCTTTTATAAACGCTAAGTCTACAAATGCTAACGTTTCTGTAAGGGTATGCAGGGGTTTGTGAGGCAATTTGAGAAGAGCAAAGGAAGAGTGAGCAGGCATTAGCAGGGAAGCTCTGCCAGGCTCTGTATTGGTCGAGAAATTGTCCCAACAGGGCAGGTGTTTCCTGCCATTTGTAGTTGCTTGGTAGCCATGGGCTCTCACTGGTCCCTGTGAGCTGTCATCCCTTTGTCTTAGAAGCTCCTGTTGTTTTCTGCTCCTGCTATCAGTGACTGTTTTGATTTTTTTTTTTCCTAGTAAACTATAAAAGCAAAAAATAGTATTTCACAAGATAGAATAAAAATAATTCAGGAGTGTTTTAGAAAACAACAGTAAGAAAAAATTAGAAAAAAACAGATCGGTGGGCTTTGTTTCAGTTTGCTTTCTTTGTTGTGAAGGATGTTAGACTTAGTGGGCAGGCCTTTTGCTACCAAGAGCTTTAGCCATCCTTTGGTGCAGGATCTGGACCTCTAGAAAGAGGTTCATTCACTGCTGCTGGAGCTGCTCCATCCTGTTAGAACCTGTGCTGTCTGGACTCACTTGTTAGCAGTAGGTGTGTAAGCTTCATTGCAAACCTTGTTCTGAATCTGAGTGCATCTCCTAGGTTCTTATCTTCTATTTCCTACGATGCTTCCTGGCATTCCTGAGCTGTGTTTGTGAACTCTACTTTTATAAGTGAGTATTAGAATCTGTCTGTTGAGAATATTTTGGAGCAGTGTGGGTAGCATGCTGTTACTGCCAGAGGAAGTACGCTCTGAAGCTGATGTATAAATGTGCAAGTGGGATTACTTCACAGTGAAACTTCAAAATACATGTTTGCAAGGTAACTTAATGAGATGCTGCTGAACATATCATAGCTTATGAGTTACCTTGTCTAAGCTGAGTTTTTTTTTTTTTGCCTGCTGCCTTTTCATTTGTGACTTCCAAACTATTGTGTTGCACCGTGTTTCTGTTGGCCACGGTTTCGTTTAAAGAATGTGAGCGAGGCCTTTGTGCCCAGAGAGGAGTTGAGATCGGTGCGAATCTTAGAATGATGATGATACAGTTTCTTCATGAAACTTTTTGAGCTTAAATTACTCTGGTAGAAGCCAAGTTTTGCACCTAGTATAGCTTAGGAAGATCTTAAATACAAAGCAGTCTTCAAGGCAGTCTTCAGAGCGCTTTTAGTGTCTGAGTAATGAGAGTTGCTCACCTTAAAGCTCTTGGGATGCTCTGTGGATTGTTTGTGGCTTTGCATGCATTACTACTATTATTTCATGTACTGGGATCATCTTTGTGGTTTCAGATTCTCTTTTGCTTCCTTAGGGCTGTGTGCAAGAAGTTTGGACTACATGTGAGTCGTCTCATGTTGGCTTTCTTAGTACTCAGCACAGGGATGTTTTGTTCATCAGCAGGTGAGTTTACATAGCAGTGAAACCAGCAATGATCTTGTCCATAAAAACCAAAGGCATTTTAAGAGAATTTCTGTTGTTCTATATGCAGTGGTCCAGGGTACTTAAAGAGGGTATTGGCCTGCCTTCCTTGAACATGTTCTAATCCAAGGAGGATTTTGTCTTTTTCATGCAAAGAGGGGCTTTGTCTTTTTGTACTTTGGCACTGTCACCTGCCTTTGTGTTCTGTCCTCTGGCTGGCTGTACTCCGTTGTCAAGCCAGCTACTGTAAGGCTGATAAAGCACCTGCTGTAGTATTGAGTGAGGTGAAGACAGGCTTTGAGGAAAGGCTTGTTCTGTTGTGCGCATGCAGAAACCAAAATGGAAATATAGCTTATGAGTACTAGTATTTCCCCTCTTGTCTTTTATTTTTTTTAATGGTGAATGGTGAAATGACACTGCAGGAACAATGTAGGAAGTCCTCAGTCTCCCTGTGCTTCACTCACTTTTCACCAGTCTGTACCCAGTTGTCAAGTCACATTTCCTGCTGCTGCTTGAGCAGATACTTTCCATTTTCTTTCTCAGTCTAGCAGAATATAGAAGGTAAAGCAGGTGTTGTAGGTGGTGTTCCATGCAGCCTTAGGTGCTGTCAACAGGTAACCAACCACTGCTGAGTGCCACTGAGGAGTATTTCTAGCCTTGGCAGAACTGGAGTCCTCTCTGAAATGTGAATTTGCAACATAGCATCCCACCTCCAGTGGAGCAAAGGAGGTGTTATTGGCCTTATTTTGCATCACGTAGTTTTGTATCATGGGAAAGCTGGGTTAAGCCTTTTCTTTCTTTTCTTTTCTTTTTTTTTTGTTTTGTTTTGTTTTGTTTTGTTTTGCAGCTTTCCTCCCAAGCAGTTTCTGCATGTATACCACGATTATTGCCATGACTGGTTGGTATATGGACAAGACCTCTGTAGCAGTGCTAGGCATAGCTGCTGGAGCACTAGTGGGCTGGCCTTTCAGTGCAGCTCTTGGGTAAGGAGAGGAGAACCCAGGAACTTGGCATTTTGTCTGATGTTTCTTGCCTGTCTGGGAATGATAATCTCCAGTTGATGCTTGGTCTCTGTTTCAGGCTTCCCATTGGCTTTGACTTGTTAGTACTGAAGCAGAGGTGGAAAAGCTTCTTAAACTGGTGTGTGGTGTCATTGATCCTGTTTCTGGTAAGTCCCTGTAACAATGCAGAGACAGAGTGAATTGGGTTCACAATAGGGTTCACAATAGAAGGAACAAGTTCAGTTAACAAAATCACTCACAACTGTTGGGCGATCCAGCTAAAAGCTTCTGGCTCCCTGCAAATAACAGATGCTTTCTTTCAGGTGCCCCTGGTAGTTGTGGACAGCTATTACTATGGGAAGCTGGTAGTTGCACCTCTCAACATTGTTTTGTACAACGTCTTCACCTCCCATGGACCTGATCTCTATGGTGAGTTTAAGATAAGATGTGGGAGGTGATGGTTTCCTTGCTGCTGTCAGGGGACAGTTACACACCAGGTTTTCATGGCTGATCTTTTTCTGATGCACTCAGAGACATCCTGCAAGCTTTGAAGGGTTGCAATTCCAGCTCTTTTGCCACAGGATGTCTCTCTCGAGCTGGAATTTGACAAGGCACTGTCAAATATCTCGAGCTGGTTCTCTGTGCTGTGAGTTAAGCAGCCTTTATTCACTTTGAAGCCCTACCGGCCATCATGAGATGTCTCAACAACACAATATCACAGCAAAGTGGTGTTAATATCAAATTTGTCTGGATGTAACACAAGTGTAGTAGGCACCAGTGGTGTGTGAATGTGTGTATTTGTCAGCTTTAACCCAGTTCTTGGCTACCGTTGTTCTTCACGGTCAGGCTGCAGAACCTTGGGAGGATAAATAGCAGTGCAAAGCCCACAGTTCCTTCAGTTCATATCAGATTCCTGATGTACTTGTGTTCTGTGGGGTTAAAGGCATCTTTGGGACTCTGGAGAAGAAAGAACGGGTAATAACCTGTTGGAATCATGCTGTGTTTCAGCCAATTTGGCTCACAGAGGCAACACCTGATCTCTCCATTTCTTTTGGATGAACAAATTGAGCAGAAAACAGTCATTCTGAAGACTGATAAGTTAGAGTCAGTGACAAGTAATGATAACCATGCTTAGGCTTCTCCTGCCATCTTTTTAGAAGCTCTTTAAGGAAAGAGCTTTCAGGATACTCTCCTATACACTCTAAAGCTTATACTCTATATAATATACTCTTATACACTCTAAAAGCTTATAGATAGTCCCTCCTTCTTATTTTTTTCCTTAAGCAATGTAAAAATTACCTACGTTTACAGGGGAAAAACTGGTGCTTTGCTTAAGCTTATGAAGGAGACAGAGCTAAAAGCAGTATTAATGTTTCATTTTGTCAGGTTTATGTTAGCAAAAAGTGAGAATCGATGCAGAAGGCCGTTTCAGACAGTGCAGACATGGAAATTACTGCTGTGAGAAATAACTAAGCTGGTGACCTCAGTGGAATTCCTGAAGATCTTAGAAATAATTGGTGAATGTCAAGGAGCATCAGCGTTGTCATCAATGATATCTAATCAGTAGGCAACTCATCTGCCTTTCAGGACTTTCCTGGTGTTGGCCCTTGGAATACTGGGTGACCTAGATCAGGTGTGAATCTTGGTGGCAGTGCCATGGAACTTGTTTGGGAGCTGCTGCTGCACCGAGTCATTCACACTACGTGCTTTTAGAGATGGAGAGTGGGGGTGTTGCATTTCTGGTAGGGCTCCAGAGAGACAAGCAGAGACTTTGGGGTGCTCAGGGCAGGTTCTTTGCAGCATCTGTCATACTTTTTGGAGACATTCTAGGGAGGATTTGGCAGTGGTTGGTAGCGAGGCTTTCTCTGGCAGTGCCCTGCAGGCTGTATTCAGTGGTTTGTTTGAGGGGCTGTTTTGGGTGATGCTGAGTTCCTTGTGCTGGGACACAGCATGGCAGCAGCTGCTTTGCTGTGGTCCTTTATCTCTGCAGGAAGGCTCTGAAGTCTGTCGCTGTGAATTTTCTGCAGTGAAAACTTCAGGCCCTGCCTTTGGGTTTTGGAATGGGCCTGTACCTGACATTTTTCACATGGAGCATGAGTTGTTTCCAGCAGCCTCCAGGGACCAGTTTTTTCTGAAGGGTTTTATTCATAGTTTTGGAAATATCCAAGCAATGTTTGTCAGGACGGTATCTCTGATAACAGCAGATTTTATTCACGGTTGCAATGGCAGCGTCTATGGACACAACATGGCAGCCTTTAGACCTTGCTTTCTCCCCCTTGCCTCCCCCCCTCCCCTGTTTCCCCACTGGCTGGGTACTCCAGGTTCACAGTCTTATCAGAAGGTTTACATTTGCTATTTACTTGTTAATTTATTTGTTACCTGGTGTCAGTCAGCAGCCATCCCGTTGTCTCCAAGATGTCTCGGTGCTCTCCTTGTCTTATGTATAACCAAGATGTTGTAATCGCAATATAATCAAAAGAGTAAGGCAAAAGCAAACAAGGATCACAAAAGAGAATAAGTAGAAGAGCTTACCCTTGGGTTGAGCTCACTAGAAGATACCAAAAGAGGAGGATCTCCAGAAGAGGTCCTTCCCCTCTGGTAGCCAGCTCTTAAATAGGTCCAGGAGGGGTGGAGCCTGGCTCCACCCCTTCCGGCAGCACAGGTGAATTGCCTTCACCTGTGCTCCTCTGGCTGACTCAAGGCTCACCTCAGGTGATTAATCAGAGGTTCAGGCCGTGACTCAGCAGTTGCCATACACTCCACCCCTTCACGGCGTGAACCAATGATCAGGTTAACTAAAGGGTAAGCTTTCCCTAATACAGAGATCCGGTATATCGCGACGCTTATACAATTTTATTGCGACGTATGTTGGTACAGTTCAAGACAAGTGATGATTTGTGGATGTCCATACTCTTCTATGGGCCAGTGCTCGATGATGTGCCTGGAGGCATGAGGTCCTGAGGTGCAAGTCCATTCTATGTTCCATCAGTCCCATGCAGACCATCACCAGGTGTTGTACGTGATCTGACAGCAACACTGGAACGCTTGATGGCATTTTGTTCCTTCCGGTGGTCCTGAAGGCTCACAGACTCACGGGGAGTAATACAGATGTTTTACAGGTACCAGGAGGGGAAGGTCTGCTCTCCAGGGCAAGATACAGGCCGTATTTCTGTCTTGGGTCAACACTTCCGCTTGTACTGGGGCACGTCCTGGCCGCCTGTACCACACCTTTTGGCCGGATATCTGCGGCTGCATAACGATATCAGGCACCAAAGGAGGTGTCCTGATCTGCCATAGGGACATGATGGGGGTCCCTTTAGCAATAAAGATCGGAGTGTTGACCACAATATCAGTAGGCCATGTACCTATTACTGGAGGGACTACTGAGCCTCCCACCTCCTATAGTCTCCCCCAAGGTGCAAGTAGGCCACACCACTTGGGTCCTACCTGCACCTTCCAGGGCCATTTTATTTTATGGGTACCTGGCTCTAAGTTTTCAGGGGCAGGGAGCAGAAGATTATTTTCATTACCAATCTGGGGTCTTACCTGATGATCAGTGCCCGTAATTTGGATCCTAAGCGGGGTGGCCCATGTCGTCTGCAACATTCTCAGGGCACTGGGTCTGCCATCTCGAGGTCTTTCATTCAGGTCCCGCAGGGTTTCATACAGTCTTTTTGTCCACCCCTGCAAGGACTGGGAGTCTGTCTTCAGGGCAGCCTTAAGAATACCATTATAACGTTCGATGAGGCCTGCCCCCGTTGGATTATATGGCAGGTGGAATCGCCATTCGATGTTATTTTCTTCTGCCCAGCGCTGTATCATTGCACCAGTAAAATGAGTCCCTTGGTCGCTCTCGATGACTTCAGGTGTCCCGTAGGCAGACATCAGTTTAGTGAGTGCCTTGATGGTATATGCCTGGTTTGCTTTCGGTACTGGATAGGCCTGCAGTAGCCCACTTGCAGTGTCGACACAGGTCAGGGCATATCTTGCCCCTTCGGAACGAGGAAGGGGCCCGATGTAATCGACCTGCCATCGCTGGAGAGGATTGTGTCCCCTAGCAAGATGGGCTGTTGTTTCGGGCAACGATCTTGGTCTCATCTTGGAGCAAGCGTCGCAATCCTGGCATGCCTGGATGATATCAGATAGTTGTATGGGCAGTCCCCATGCTTTAGCAGCTGCCCACATTGTCTTTTGTCCAGCATGCCGTAGCTTCTGATGTAACCAGTGGGCGATGTTCTCAGATGGTGAATTCTCAATCCATCGAACTCGGGCCAGTGTGTCGGCTTCATCGTTTCCCGGTGACTGTAGGGGCTGATGACCAGAAACATGGTAGACACGTACAGTCCTGTGTTTGACCGTATTCCATATATCTAACCACATGTCTTTGCCCCAGATCGGTCGGGCGTGGATAGTCCATTCCTGGGTGGCCCACTGTGCAATCCAAAGAGTGAGCCCCCGGTACACAGCCCAACTATCTGTGCAGATGTTCAGGATACCATCACCGGGTTCCTTGGTTATAACCATCCACACGGCTCGCAGTTCTGCCCATTGGCTGCTCTGACCATCCCCCTCATCGAACCAGATTGTCTCGGTGGAAGGATGGTATGCTATTGCTCTCCACTTGCTCGGGTTGCCCTTGCTGGACCCATCTGTGTACCAGGCATCTTCAGGGATAGGATATTTTCCCTCGTGAACGGGACTCTTCTCTGGTGGAGCGACCAGTATTTCTTTTGGTGCATCACTGTGATACGTAACTGGGCCTAGGATCTTCTGGAGTTCTTCTTTCAAGGGGGATGAAGACAGACTGCTCCTTTGGCTGAGATAGGCGACCCATTGTGCCACTGTTTGTGCTTGGGCCACCCCTGTCTTAGGAAGGTGGGTCAGATCTTTCACCCACCCCTGAATTGGCAGAGTGGTCTTGACTATAACTGCAGCTGTTTGAGTTATTGGCTCTACTGCCTGTAATGCCGAATAGGCAGCCAATAACTGTTTTTCAATCATACTGTATCTTTCTTCTGCTCCGTGCCAAACCTGAGACCAGAAACCAATGGGGGTCCGAACAGAACTCTGGCGTTGCCACAGGCCCCAACCGAAGCCGTCTTGAGTAACATGAACGTCCAACTCGGCTGGGAGGGTAGGATCGAATATACCCAATGCCTGAGCTTGTTTAACTGCCAGTTTTGCTTGTTGGAAAGCATCCTGTTCAGTTTTCCCCCAGTCCCATAGCTGCCCCTTTTTTGTGAGTCTGTATAGTGGCCTTAGCAGCTGCGCTAGGTGAGGTATAAAGGAACGCCAATAACCCAATATACCTAGAAACTCTTGCAGCTGCTTTGATGTTGTAGGGACTGGGAATGCCTGAACCTTATCTATAACAGCACTGGGTAGCACTTTGGTCTTTCCTGACCAAACCACCCCCAGGAATTTTACGGACAGGCCTGGACCTTGCACCTTTTGGGGATTTATAGCCCATCCCCTTTGTTGTAAATAGGCAGTTAATGAATCTGCTGCCTGTCCTACTGCCTCCAGTGAGTCGGATGTCAACAGGAGATCATCAATATAATGATATAGGTTAACATCATCAGGTTTTCTCCAGTCAGCCAGGTCATGCGCCACTAGATTGTGACAATATGTTGGTGAATGCACGTACCCCTGTGGCAGGACCTGAAAGGTCCACTGCCTGCCTCCCCACGTAAACGCAAACTGATCTTGCGATTCCTCAGCAATTGGGATACTGAAGAATGCATTTGCTAGATCTAGGACACAATGATAGGTTTTTATCTCCCTACTCAATGTGTCCATTAGGGAGGCAATATTGGGTACGGCCGCATGAATAGGCGGCGTGACCTTATTTAATTCTCTGTAATCTACTGTCATCCTCCATGTGCCATCCGACTTTCGCACTGGCCATACGGGGGAGTTATATGGGCTGTGTGCAGGTCTTATAATGCCCACTTTTTCTAATTCCTGCACCGTTCTCGATATTTCATCTTGCCCACCCGGGAGTCTATACTGTCTAACATTAGTAATCCGGTGCGGTTTCGGCAGGCAAACAGGCTCATGTTTCGCATGGCCTCTTAATATTGCCTGCACCGCCTGGATACTGATACATCTTTGTCGAAGTCTGAACTCTCCCACAGTTCTTTGGAGAGCCAGGCCCCATAGAATGTCTATGCCCAGGATGTATTCTTGGACTGGGGCAATAGACACCTTGTACTCCCGGGGTGGGAGACGCCCAACCCCCAATTTTAACCATGTTTGGGTGACAGGAATAGTCTGTCCCCCAAAACCACCAATCATCACTCTGTCGCCATGAAATTTTCCCGGATCTCCATAGATAATTGATGTTTCTGCTCCAGTATCTACTAGTGCCATAACTCTCTGAATATTTTTTCGGGACCAATAAATCGTTAATTCTACATAGGGCCTCCGGTCCCGTCTGGAGGCCCTACGGGGACTAACACCCCTCGTCACTGCATGAATTGTGCTAGGGCCAGTTCTTTTGCTTCTGACAGCTCAGGCATTGTGGCCCGAGACACCTGAGGTGGCTTCTTTTTCCTGTTTGGAATAATAAAATCTTCTAGGTTCCATGTTGTTGTTGGAACCCTCTCTATAGCTGTTACCCTTGATTTCTTAGGGTAGCTCTGGAATTTTTGATTGTCCTTTAGTTGTCTCCAGAGCTGGAGAAGGACGTGGTTGGGCTGGCGGTCGATCTTAGCAAATTAGACCCCAGCCCGAATTAAATCATTAAACATTTGTTTTCAGGATACCCTTATGGGTCCCGATGGAGGAGCTCGAGTAGCCAGCATTTTGGTTTTATTTACCGGCAGGACCTCTGCTTCCTCCAAAAACCGAATATTGCACCTAGTCCGCAGGCGTTCTGTTTCTCCCAAATCGGCAACTAACTGGGCAGCCTGCTGGACTACGGCTTCTGATGCTACAAGGGGATTTAATATCGAAACTAGGGTGCCGTACAGATGGGAGGGAGCTTGCTGTAGAATTAAATCTCTCATCCCTGCTGAAAATTTAACCATATCAGGGCCATCAAATGTATCTTCATAGATGGCCTCTCTTACACCCAGTTCACGGATATAGTTTTGAAGGTCCTCCATGGAGGACCACATACCTGTATGTAACGGTATCTCTGATTTATTCGGCCATACCATACGGCAGGCCGCCATTAACCATTCTAGTATGGAATGGTTTTCATCACGATATTGATTGCCTACATATAACCTCTGCCTGAGAGCAGGATGGACAGTCATGGTGGCCAACTTAGATATTTCTGGGCCATTCACCAAGACACTTTCTGCCCCAGAATCCCACAATCTCAATAACCAAGCCGGCACACTTTCTCTAGGCTTCTGCCGAAATCGTTGTACTAAGTCCATTAATTCTGTTGCTGTGTATGGCCGAGCTGTCACATGTAAATGAGTCTGGGCAGGGGGCCATTGATCAGGCGGCACCCCTGCCGGTCTGTCCTGTACTTTTTTTGTTTTTTGGGTTACAACAGGACGGACTTCCAATGGATCAGTTTGAATTGGACATTCAAGGTCTGATTTGGATTTCTTGTAGTCCTGATCAACGAAGTCTGTTGATTCAGGAGCCTGGTCATCATTTATTGAAATATTACGAATTTGGCTTACAGGAAGATGTAGAATTGGCTTCTTCCCCGTTAAAACGCCAAGTTCGTGCTCCAGCTTTTCAATGCGGTCTTTCAAAAGCTGATTTTCAGTTTCTAAAGTATTATTTCTTAAGTCCGCATGATTTAAAGCGGTTAATAGTGGCCATGCCACCATGGAGGCAGCCAATTGTCTTTCTTTGGTAATGAGGACATCCTTGCCAAGTCCTTGAAAATAGTCCGCCATGCGATATGGGGAGAGATTGCCCATAACGCGTAAGGGACCCCATTTTTCAATGATGGCAGCTAACTCATAATAGGGCGATCCCTCAAATCCTGGGATCTGCCCTGGAATCATTTTCTCTAGAGGAGTATTGTTCTCCCCCTTGACCCATTTATAGAAATCCCACAGGAAAGACATGATGTTAATTTCAGTATATTCAGCCTGCCTGGCTCGCCAAGTGTATAACCAAGATGTTGTAATCGCAATATAATCAAAAGAGTAAGGCAAAAGCAAACAAGGATCACAAAAGAGAATAAGTATAAGAGCTTACCCTTGGGTTGAGCTCACTAGAAGATACCAAAAGAGGAGGATCTCCAGAAGAGATCCTTCCCCTCTGGTAGCCAGCTCTTAAATAGGTCCAGGAGGGTGGAACCTGGCTCCACCCCTTCCGGCAGCACAGCTGAATTGCCTTCACCTGTGCTCCTCTGGCTGACTCAAGGCTCACCTCAGGTGATTAATCAGAGGTTCAGGCCGTGACTCAGCAGTTCCCATACATCGTATCAATGCGGTGATTTTCTTTTAAGTCTTTGTTGAACAAAGAGCGCTGGGGATGATGCCAGGCCTTCCGATGCCTCTTCAGGCGCTTCCTCGGGCAGGCCCTCACTGTTCTCTAGTTTGCTCTCGTGCAGGATATTCTTTCAGTGTGTATGACAAAATATACAGATATACACCTATATACAGAGTGTGCGTTCCTGGGAAGGTTCATCTAGAGGATCAGTGATGTAAACTGTCAGAGATCTTCCCCAAGTTAAGTAGAAGGACTCCCAAAAAGAACTACGATACGGAGATCATGAAATAAAAATAATATTATCCAATTCTAATGCAGAAACAACATTTGATTCGCACAGTAGTGACATTTGCATGACATCTTCTGGCTAGAAAATGATTTTGCTTGAAACTGCTCTTCAGTGCAGTGTGGTCAGGACAACGTGGGTTTGGAACTTCAGAGCGCTTCATTGTAAGGGAAGATGGAAGGCTGTCCAGTGCCTTGTGGTTTTGCAACTGGGATTTCCCAGCTTTGATGTGATGGGAATAATTAACCTATATCATCTTCAGTGTAAGCACTGTAGTATTTTTTTGGTTTGCATAAAGGCTTGAGTCTAAGAGAAAAGGCTGTGTGATTTTTGTTTTTTTTCTTCAGCAGCATCCTACTTCTGGACTAATATCTCTTATTCAAACTCTCATGTACTGTTGTGAGACTGAAAAGAATTACGAGGCACATGGAGGGAGAGAGAAGATGAGCTAATAATTCACTTCCTTAAGGATCTCTGCTTCCCTAAACCTGAACTTGTAACTGCTGTTTGCTTTTAGTGCTAACAGCTGCATGTTTTGTATATTTCAGTTGCTTGGAATTCTGACGTTAATAGAGCATCTTCTAATCATGTTAACTGTAGGAGCTGCAGAGGATTGTGGTTTTTCTTGCTGCTCCTCAGTTGTCTGATTAATTGCAACACAGACCCTTCTCTAAGTGGCTGTAGGTGCAGGAAATTGCTGTGGCATTTGACTCTTGTCACAACAATGCAGTGATTTAAGCACCATCCTGTCAGTCACTGACTGGTTGAGCTAATCACACTGCAAAAGTGCAAGGACCCAGCACTCCTTACTGTTCAGGATTTTAAGCATCGTGAATTAAGCATCCAATTAAATGATTGTTAGCTGGGAATTTCTGCCAGTCCTTGCAACTAATAGTGTGTAGTATTAGGAGGCGGAGTTTTTTGCTCCTGTTAAAAAGTACATTTAAAACCAGTTGAACCGGGGAAGCCTAAAAAAGTTCTGCTGCTGAGGAGGTAACGAAGCTGGCATCTGGATGAGCTTCAGTTGTTGGGGTGAAGTGTGAATGTGAACTCTTGTTCCTCTTAGTCCATTTTCTGTTCCTGCTGACATGGTGTATAAATACATCATCACTCCAGGCTGATAATCATCTCCTATTAGCATTGTGTGGTTTTCTGTTGTATCTTTTATTTCTCTACAATTAGAATGAATTTGGAGTAGAAATTCCTGATTTCACAAGTTTCAGCCTCTTGTTTTGGAGGCTTAGGGCAGGGGTGAGTTCCGTGTTGCAGAACCTGTTTGTTGCTGGGCAAGTCTGACTGTTAAAGTGGCTTGTGAAACATGAGCAGCACGTGTGATGTTGACTATGATCCAGTGGGAAAAAAGTGAAGTCACTTATGACAAAGAAAACAATTATCTTTTGTGCACACCTTTTCCATTCTTTGGTTTCAATATACCTGCAGTGCAGAGAACTGCTGTCTGCTGCTGGGTATCTTCCTTGTGTCAGGCAGAGAAGGAATGAAGTTGCTATGACACCCAGTTCTCATGCATTCTTGTGCTTAAATACTCTTTCCCTTTCTCTTCTTTCAGGTACAGAACCATGGTCCTTCTATTTCATCAATGGCTTTCTGAATTTCAATGTGGCATTTATTTTGGCACTGCTTGTGCTACCACTGACTTGTCTCATGGAGAGTCTGCTTCAGAAATTTCATGGTGAGTGCGGGACGGATATGAGAGACAAGAAGGAGGATTTGCCAAAGAGCAGCTTTTTTTATTGGAAGTGAAACTAGGATCAGGGAAAGTTTATGGAATGAGAGCAAAGTTCCTAGAGCTCATTACTTGGTTCAGTATTGGCCCCACAATGGAATTACTGTGTAGAAAGAAGAGGCAGTGAGATGCCGTCTACAAAAGGGCAGGAATGTGCTTTTCCTGTTTAAGGATGATTCCTGTGTTTTCTGTCTTCACCTCAAGAATAATATTGTGTTGTCAATGCTAAACTATTCATACCCAAAATAAGCTTAACAAGTTCTACAGTACACGGTCTTCAGCCAGGCATACAAATGCATTAGCAATAGCCCTGTCAGAACTTTTAAGGTGGGAAGAAACTACATTGCCATTTCTGTCTTTGCAGCTGGAAATGGCAGCCTTTCCTGCACACTTCTCTGAAACTATCTTTTGTTATCAGTGCCATAATGATTACTGCAACATCTGGGGAGAGCAGAGTTGTTTACAGCTTTTCCCTTATTGGTGCTGAGCCTGCCAGAAGGCATTCTCTGGAGTCTCCTGCTGCCCATGAATGGGCACTCTACTTGCAGAACTGAGCCCTAGCAGACAGTCTTGCTATGGTCTGCACTGGGAAGCATTCCCACAGGCATGGATATACTGAAAGTAGAGAAAGGAGGGACTAGAATATCCCCTACTTCCTACTGGGCTTTCTCTTAAGTAAAATAACATCAGTTGGAATACATGGTGTCTGGAAAATGACTATATAAGGAAAGATGCGTTGAAAGCATGAATTTTCCGTTGCCATTTTCCAGACGAGGGCTCATTAAATGTCAACTGATGCTTCCAGTTTCATCAGCCCAGCTGGGGCTCTGCCCTGTGATTTTTTACTAAATACAAGAAACAGTACTACCATGATCTTTGCTGATAATGTGTGTTAGTGGCCATTTGCAAATATATGTTCTTTGGATGTGACTGACAGACTGTCAGAAACCAGTAGGACTTCTACAGGAGATCGTGTGAATGCAAGATTTCCTGCTGCTCGTTTGGTGTTCTTTTAACAGTAGGAACCACTCTGCTGAGTGCTCCGTTCTCATTGTCTGTGAAACACTGTTAGCTTAATTGTTTCTGCTGCTGGCAGTAGCAAAGGGGCAGAAAAGGGATTGAAAAATGTTAGGTGCTCTGGGACCCGTCCTCATTGTGACTAAAATTCAGGGTAACTTTTGTTTCTTTTGAATCAGTTATTTCCTGCATTGACCAGAAGATACCTGAGAGGCCTCTTGTGCTGTTATTTTTATAATGAAACCAGGAGGGTTGTGGAAACACCAGAGCCCAAAATGCCATTTAAAAGCAAAGAATAGATCCAGAGGAGATTCATTCTGATCTCTGCATGCGAAGCATAATGCACAGCAGGACAGGCAGTTTCTGCTTTCCTGCCTGCCTGGGAATGTCAGCTCTTGCTGGATTTTGTCCCTTATGTGGATACAATGACCCGTCCACTCATCTCTGCATTTGTCTTCAAGAGTCTGTGTGTTATGGGAAGCTATGACAGTTATCTGAGTAGAATTGTGTGCTGACTGGATGTATTACCTGAATTTTAGCTGCTCAGAATGCAGTGCATTTGCCTGAAGGCTGCGAGTTGGTTCAGAAGAGTGGGCTTTTGAATATAAATGTCATAATGCACCCGATGGGTGTGCGTGCAAGAGGAAGAGTGGTGTAAACATGCAGTGTTACTACTCTGCTGAGTTCTTGTTTCTTTCAGTTCAGAATCTGGGCCGTCCCTACTGGCTGACACTAGCTCCGATGTACATTTGGATCATAATTTTCTTCAGCCAGCCCCACAAAGAAGAGAGGTTTCTCTTTCCCATCTATCCTCTCATATGCCTCTGCAGTGCTGTAGCTCTGTCTGCTCTTCAGGTAAGTTTCTGGAATGTGGGTTTTATTGTTCTGTTATGAGCTCATAGCTTTAGGGAGCTAAGTGCTCCCTTTCTTAACACTCTTTCCAAAAGCTTGGGAATATGTGTAGTGTATGTGTGGTTGTGACACAGTCTGTAATGATTACATAGTTCAGGACTGTCCCGTGCATAACTTTTGGTCACTTTTAATCTGCTAACTAATTTTCATTTTTGGACCATGTTTCATAGATAGGTCTTGAGACTCTGGAAGCAAAATGAATTAATACTGAACTGTGTAATGTTGATTTTACAACATAAACCATAGTCGCCCTGTATAGTTTGACTGAGAGTATGTCAAAATCTGTTAGCCCTCTGTAAATTGTGATTACAACAGCAAAAATACTTGGGATTTCCCTCTCTGGATAACATGCTGAAGGATCTAATCTAATAACCTTAGCCTCCAATGCAGACTTCATAATAGTCTGTATGGTCTATGAACATCCCCATCTGGGGTTATGTCAAGTGACAAACAGTTGAAAATATTTCCTCAACTGATTATTTCATGATGACTTTGAGTCCTTCCTTTTTCCAGGGGGAATTGCTGGTGAGGAGCTCTTGTGATGTTGTGGTGTTGACATCACATCCAAGAGATGTCACAGTGATTAGGAACTTGCTTGAGTAGTCTCACTGATTTGAAAAAGTGACCTTGCTCAGGCGTAAGAAAATTGTTTTGGGCATTTGAAGAATAAAAACCTATATTGAGTAAAAAGCAGCTGTGATGTATCATAGAGTAAAGCATTCTATCAGCCTTCCCAAAGCTCCAAATTATTTATCTCTCCTCTGAAAGGATTGCAGTTATTCATCCCTGTTAGAGCCCGTTGCAGCTGTTCTGCCTAGCTCTGTTTCTGCTCTTGCACTCAGCTTCCTTCACCAGCACAGCTGGTTGCTCTTCTGGTTCTTGATCTCTCCTTACATACTGCTGCTTTGCACTGCTAGGCTGGAACTTCCCAGATGCATTTCGGTCCTTGCATTTGTTGCAGGATCAAGCTCTGTAATGTCAGCAGTTTTGTTTCTGAGAATTACCTTGTGTTTGTTGGAATGTTCACCAGATGACAGCAGTTTGGGATGTTTGCCAAATACAGTCTTAGAAATCCCTAGTGTGTATTTCTAAATGAATACTTTAATGTACTGTTTGACATCCTTTTGTCATCAGGGTTGGTCAGTGCAGGCAAGTCTTGCAGGATGTCTCTGGAAGGGTCTGTGCTGATGGTTCACTTGGGAACAACCAAGCTAGAGCTCCAGTGGAGGGTGCTTTACAGCTTGACTAGAGGCCTTCCTAGGGGGAGCAGCTGAAAAATTTATAAATACCCTAGATTCATAGTTAAGAAACTTGACTGAACTGTGTAAGTTTCTGTGTATTTTTTACGTGTTAGAATGAAAAATGCTGACACGGACCAAAGACCTGGTGGGAGATGTGGGCAGTGCTTAGAGGTCCATTTGAAAAACCGTTTTGATAAAATTGCTCAAACTCTGAAATGTTTATCTGCTCTTTTTTCCTCTCCTCAGAAGTGTTACCACTTCATATTCCAGCGCTATCGCCTGGAGCACTACACGGTCTCCTCCAACTGGTTGGCACTGAGCACTGTCTTTCTCTTTGGCCTTTTGTCACTGTCACGCTCTGTTGCCTTATTCAGAGGTTAGTATTTTACCACTGTTCTGGGCTTTCCTGGGTATTGGTGTTGGCAAGTCACACGGCCAGCTAAAGTTATGCTGGTCTAACTAGGTGAGCATGGTAGGGATAAGGAAATATGAAAGCTTGCATCTTACTCCAGGGAGAGGAATGGTGTCCTCATTCGTGTGTGTACATGCATGTGTGCGGTGTGCATTATGTGTGTGTCACTAGAATTGTATCAGTTAACAATTTTCTGACCTTCGCCTTCAGCTGGTACAACTGTAATGATGTACAGTGTGCACCCAGACTGGCATGCAGGTGGGGACTTGAAACTTGCAGATGTACAATCTGACTTGAAATAACATTTTCCCATGAAAAACTTGTCATTGTTCATTTGTCCTTAATGGAGATGCATTAAAGTCCGTATGCAAGTCCTTTCCTGAATCACAGCTGTGTAGTGTGATTCCACCTCACTGAAGTTAGGCAGCATCAGTACTTTTTGCTTGATACTAGCCACTGACAGTCAGAACAGGAGAATGTGAGGAAACTTTTGTAGTACAAGCACCCCTTATAGGATAGGGAGCATTGGATTCCAGTTACTTCTTAGTACAGACAAATTATTATATTCAGTAAGTAACCAGTTTGAAAATATAACTGAACGTTTACTTGTAGTGTGTTAAAAAAAAGTCATGCAGATATTGTCTATTTCTTTAGCTTTATTTACAAAGTGCTGCCTCCCATAGGCTACCATGGGCCTCTGGACCTGTACCCAGAATTTCACAGGATTGCTACGGACCCAAGTATTCACACTGTGCCAGAGGGGAGGCCAGTTAATGTCTGCGTGGGGAAGGAATGGCACAGATTCCCAAGTAGCTTTCTTCTGCCAGACAAGTGAGTTGTGTAACGTGAAAGTTATGATTTGGTGTTGGTCCGTAAGGGTTGTTTCACACAAGAAGTATTTTGGGAGTAACCTTCAAAATCTTGTATCTCTGACAACAGCATGTCCGAAACAGAAGATTTAGAAGTTTGGTGTCAGCAGACTGTTGGTCACAACTTAGTGACAGTTTTGTAGTGTGATTGCTCATCTAGAAGAGCTGTCTGTCCTTGACAATGAAATTCCCTTTGTTGTGCTTCTGTTTGATTCTGTACAAAATGTGACTGCCTTCTGCAGTTTCTTGCTGGGATTTCTGACACTGTTCTCTGCAGTTGGCAGCTCCAGTTCATCCTGTCAGAATTCAGGGGCCAGTTACCCAAACCATTTGCCAAGGGACCAATGGCCACGCGGATCATTCCCACAGACATGAACGACCAAAACAAGGAAGAGCCATCTCGATATGTGAGGTTTACATTCTTGTTTTACGTTCCTCACCTTGCTGTGCCATTCATATTAATGCAGTGCCTAGAATGTGGTTGGGTTTCCCATTTTGTATTCTATGGACAGTACAGTTACAAACCAAAAATGGGCTCTCTGCAGCACTTGGATATTTCCTGATTGATGTGAGTCTGGCTTCTGTTTGCACTTCATCTTCTTATTTTCCATTTGAAGAGGATGGGAAAAAGAAAAAAGGAAAAGGTGATTCCTAGTTATTGCAATTTTGAGTTCACTACAATGTTACTGTGATCACAGGAAAGTGAAGTGACTTAGTTTGAAATTCCCAACAGAAGATACTTGTCACTGAACAGAGATTGGAATTTTCTTTTGTACGTTCTTTTAAAATATGAATATATTTGACATATTTGCAACAGAGGAAGAGGTTCTTAATTTGGGAATCAGTGAAACAACTGTGTCAGTGATTTCTATGGGAAGCTGTTAATGTACATTGTTATTACTGACTTGTTTTTGTATTACCCAAACAAAAATAGTTCATGCTTATTTTTAAATATTTTTAAATTTTTAAAATATTTTTAAATTTTTGTTTGCTAATTTCTTTAAAATTATGTAGCAGATTAAATCTTAGAAGTGCACTGAATATTCTTTGTGGTACAGATATTTAGTCATCTTTTCTTTCTCAAGAGTGAATGAGGGGGACTGCCTCTATATACCTGCTCTTTTCTTCATTCCCCTCTCAGTACCTCAGAGGATGGATTTGATATTTGGAGAGGGAGGTGATTGCCCCCCTCTACTCAGCTCTTGTGAGACCCCATCTGCAGTGCTGCATCCAGGCCTGGGGCCCCCAGCACAAGAAAGATGTGGAACTCTTTCAACGGGTCCCCACTGAGATGATCAGAGGGCTGGAGCAGCTCTTCTGTGAAGAAAGGTTGAGGGAACTGGGATTATTTAGGTTGGAGAAGAGAAGGCTCTGGGGAGAACCTCATTGTGGCCTTCCAATATTTGAAGGGAGCGTATAAATAGGAGGGGGAACAGCTATTTGTGACGGTGGATGATGATGGGACAAGGGGGAATGGTGTTAAACTGAGACAGAGGAGGTTTAGGTTGGATATTAGGAGGAAGTTTTTTCACCCAGAGGGTGGTGAGGCACTGGCACAGGTTGCCCAAGGAGGCTGTGGATGCTCCATCCCTGCAGGCATTCAAGGCCAGGCTGGATGTGGCCCTGGGCAGCCTGGGCTGCTGTTTGGCGACCTGCACACAGCAGGGGTTGGAACTGGATGAGCATTGTGCTCCTTTGCAACCCAGGCCATTCTGTGATTCTGTGATACTCTGTCAGTACATTAGGAGCACTCCTGTAATGGACCAGGTCTCTCCTTTATATGAGCAGTGTATCCTTGTTGAGGACAGTGGACGTGCACTGCTTTATGGGGCTCATTACTCTGGCCAGTTAAACATTTCATGAGCACTTGTGATCCCCTCAGAGGAGTGGATGGAAGGCAGCACTGTAACACAGGATTTCTACACACCTTTGCTGATGATACGAAGTTGGGAGGATTGGCTGACACGCCTGAAGGCTGTGTTGCCATTCAGCAAGACCTGGATAGGCTGGAGAGCTGGGCAGAAAAAAACCGGATGAGGTTTAACAAAAGCAAGTGTAGAGTCTTGCATCTGGGGAGGAATAATTCCATGCACCAGTACAGGTTGGGGGATGAGCTGCTGGAGGGGAGCTCTGCGGAAAGGGACCTGGGTGTCCTGGTGGACGACAGGTTGGCCATGAGCCAGCAGTGTGCCCTTGTGGCCAAAAAGGCCAATGGCTTACTGGGGTGCATTAAAAAGAGCGTGGCCAGCAGGTCAAAGGAGGTGATCCTCCCCCTCTACTCTGCCCTGGTAAGACCTCATCTGGAGTACTGCGTCCAGTTCTGGGCTCCCCAGTACAAAAAAGACAGGGATCTCTTGGAAAGAGTCCAGCGGAGGGCCACGAAGATGGTGAAGGGCCTGGAGCATCTCTGCTATGAGGAAAGGCTGAGTGAACTGGGTCTGTTCAGCCTTGAGAAAAGGAGACTGAGAGGGGACCTGATCCAGGTCTATAAATATCTAAGGGGGCAGAATGGCGAGGCTGGACTCTTTTCAGTGGTGAGTGGAGACAGGACAAGGGGAAACGGCTGGAAACTGCAGCATAGGAAGTTCCGCACAAACATGCGCAAGAACTTCTTTACAGTGAGGGTGACGGAGCACTGGAACAGGCTGCCCAGGGAGGTGGTGGAGTCTCCTTCTCTGGAGATGTTCAAGACCTGCCTGGATGCCAACCTGTGCGACCTACTGTAGGGAACCTGCTTTGGCAGGGGGGTTGGACACGATGAGCTCTGGAGGTCCCTTCCAACCCCTACAATTCTGTGATTCTGTGATTCTGTGAAATCTTGCTGAGTGAAAGCTCTCTTATTTTGGGATTCGTTAGATAGGTACTGGAAATGGAAGGAGGCAAATCCCCACCTGAGAAAAGTTCTCTGCTATGCTGCATTTAATTTAGGAAATCTTCAACTGTGACATTTATAGTGCAGACAGCTGGCTGGCACATACCCTGTTACTGATGGAATGAGAGACTTTTGTTTTGTGGTTGTTTCATAATATCATCCTTTACTATTTCTCAAGCAAGCAAAAGGGCCTGGAATATGTTTAGAAATTAGCTATTTCATGTGAATTTTAAACAGGTTTTTATAACTTTTGCGTCCGAGCTGTTAATACCAGGAGAAACAGGATCTTTCCTCAAGAACTGTAGGCATACCCAGATTTAAAAAAAAAAAAAAAAAAAAGTCATTAGGAACTGCAAAGGACCATCCTAGCAAATATATTTAAATAGCATGTGTGTGTTGGCCCTTTAAAAGGGAGGAAAACGAAAAACACAACAGTTCAGAAGAACGGTCTGAGTAATGGGCAGCTTGAAACCAATTAATGTCTGCAGAAGTGAGACTGATTTCAGTGTTTCACCTGTGAGCATCTATTACTGTTCTGCTTGAGAATTGAAGAGTAGAATGAATCTTCAGTCTTCTCCCCTGTTGTTTGGAATGTGAGCAAACCAAGCTCTCCATCACTTAGTTCCATCAAATAAAAAGACTGGGAGGAGAAAAAGGAAAGTAGAACTGAAGGGAGTAGGGTGTAATTAGAAGTTCATTTCTCATTCAGTTCACTGAGGCTGATTTTCTGCAGAGAAACACTTCAAGATCTGTGCACCACTAAAATCTTGTGTACATCCTCAAATAGATGCGTAGCTGTGCTGGCCCTCTGACCAGGATGAATGTTGTTATTGCTTCAGTGTGACTTGTAAGCAAACACTGTGTTGTACATGAAATGGTAGAAGTGGGAGTCTCTCTATGTGGCAGGTGATTCCTAAGCACTGGAGGTGCAGCATTTGGAGTAAAAGTCAGATCAGCCTTAGTGCTCAAAGCAGTTACTTTTGTTTCTCCAAGAAATTCTATGTAACTTTGAGGAAATATAAACATATGTATATATGTTATGTATGTATATATTGGTTAGTGGTTTGGGTGTCCTCTCCCAGGGCCTGGAACGTTCTTTTGATGCAGTGCAAGAAATGGATTCAACGTTCTCATTAGCTGAGCTTCCCGTGGTGTCGTTCATTTACCGTTCAGTTGTGATGCCACAGAGCCATCTGGTGGCAAAAAAATCTACTTACATTTTGGGCAGTCAGAAAATCAGTCTTTCTTTTCTCCCTTGCATTTCACAGGGGTGAAACATCAATGCAGCTAAGGAGGCTGTTAGAGTGCAGTTGTTTATTGACCAGGAATTACAAACTATCTTCTGTTTCACTTAACCTGAGTAAAGATTCTGCTTAGGTTTTTTTCTGTATCTAAATGTATCTATTCTAGTACTCTGATGTTTCCCAGATCAAAATATCCTGATCAGTGGAGGATGCAACCTATAGTTACCACGTTGTTCTGTATTCCACTGGTGCCTTTTTTTCAGAAATTTCAAAGCACCACTACAATTTAATGTACAATGCTCAGTGACCAGAATGGGAGCTGTTAGACCCTTTGGTATGTGGGAGCACTGACATGTTGCAAGGAGGAGGGTAGCAGGCCAGGAAAACCAGAAGAAGCATCCAAGAGTTCTGGGCATTCTTAGCTGACAGAAAGAAACACTAAAGATGGGACATCCAGGATGGGCAGATGTGGGGGGGCATGACTGCCTCTGAGATCACTACTGTGAGCTTTTGCCAGAAAGATCAGTCTGTGTGCCAAATGTGAGAATGAGTGAACCTAGTGCCAGCACAATATGCAGGTACAGAGGCAATAAGTGCTAGGAGCTGCTTTGCTCCAGTGGCTGAGTCATGATGCCACCAGAAGCTCAGCCTTGCTGCTGTACCTGTGAGAGGTTCCATTCACTGGTGCATTGCAATAGCGCAGCCACCCTGATGCAATGTAAACATGGCCTCAGGCTCTAGAGTTCTCAATTCATTTTTGAAAATGACTTATGGTGTCACTTAGAGACAATTAGATGTTCAAGAGGAGGATATGAGCCTTTACTTGTATGTGCCTGTCTTATTCTCTTGATCTTTTGTGCTTATTGCAGTGGTTTCTGTACAATGCAACCTTGTGTTGAGCTGCCTTGTCCAGAACTTATCCTACATCTCATGCTTATTGTCAAAAGGAAGTTTGTCCTGATAGGAGCTCAAATCTTCTCTATATCTGATAGTTGATATTTGTCTCAGCAGCTTGCATGTATGTCTGCAGGGGAACATGGAAGGAGTGAGGAAAACAGGCAGGAGGAGGGAGCTGTTGCCTAAAAAGGACAGTGCTGTGTATGAATTAACAATATTCCCTGCTCATACCCAAGAGCAATTCCCCACTGGAAGGAAACAGATTGAACACTGAGGACACTGCCCACAGCTCATTTTATTGGGGAGATCACACACACAAATCATTTATGACATTGCTACCTTGAATACATTTTCATAATTTAACCAAGTGTTCCCAAACGTTTTGGTCAGGGCAAAGCAGTTAATTGAGTCATAGGCAGCTGACAAAAGCATGACTGCACTGACAGCAAGTGCATGTGGTCTGAGAGGTGCAATGTGGTGTCCATCTACTGCAGAGAGATGTCCATCTACAGAGAGATGGTGAGGGTCACCAGTGCTACAGACCAGGTTATTCCTGCACAAGCCCAGCATGATTTGCACTAGATAACATGCTTGCTGTTCTGCAACTGCTTGCTTTCCATGGCTTGGTCAGTACCTTGGGACTTGCAGAGTTAACTAGTTATGGAGTTTGTGTAATCATTTATTGGGTTTGTTTTCCTTGTTCGTGGTGTAAAACAAGTAGGAAAGAGTAAAAACTGAGACAAAAAAATAAATATTCAGTTTAGACACCAGGAAACCTTTCCAGCAATGAAGATAATGTCTTTTGTCTGGGGAGTTCATTGAGTCAGCATTATGAGAAGTCTTTAAGAGTTTGTTAGACAGCCTCAAGTCAAACACCAGCAGAATTATTTCTACTGCCTCAAATTCTCCCTTTGTGACTTGGAGGTTCCTCAGCAATGTATCTAGCAGTGCTACTTCCTCATACAGACAGCCCAGGCTTCTCCTCCTGTGGTAGCAGTAGTGAGAGCTTTTATTCCTCAATAAAAGTTTTACTTGAATACACTAAGAATCTTTTACCATAAAGTATTTCTTATGTTGCTAGAAATTTTAAGCCCATTCTCATAGGTGTGTAACAGCTTCTATGAATAAAAATTCCTGTATGAATGCATGCAATTAGGAGCCTAAAGGAAATAAACAGCAAGAGTCTTTCTTTTTACAGATTGACATTTCCAAATGCCACTATCTAGTGGACTTGGATACAGCAGCTGAAGCCCCAAGGGAGCCAAGATACTCCTCCAACAAAGAGGAGTGGGTAACCATTGCCTACAAGCCATTCCTAGATGCTTCCAGGTATGTTTTATTGTTTGAAATTAGTGAGAGACTGACAGATCTGTGAACTGATTTTGTGCAATAGTCTGCTTACAGCAGCTGTATGCAGGAAAGAAAGATAAACTGGCAAATGCCAGCTTAAAATCCAGTTTCATGTAAGGGCAGCTTGCTCGCCACATTATAACCTTTGTCAAACCTGTATGTGCAGTGTTAATTACTTAGGTTGCTTTAGAGGATGAAGCAAGCCAGGAAGAGTAGGGGAACGAGGATTATTTTTAAAAGGAGTCCATCCTTTGTGCTTCTTGCTGATGTAATGTTTCTTCTTTTCCTTTCTAAAGAAGTAAGGTGTACATCATCTTTTCCCAGCAGACTTCTGAATCTGCAGTCTTGTTTCAGCCGAATTCGATAGATAGATGTAAGTCAGTCTCAGAGTGAACTCCTGTATGTTTTATGAAGCTGGCAGATGAAGAGAGGAGGCGGCCACAGTGAGTGCAAGTGACCAAGGTGACACCTTTATTAGACATTGGAGAGCTGCTGTAGCAGACCTCTGTCAGAATCAGCTCTTTGTTAGTCCTGCAGGGGTTGAAATTGCTATCCTCCAGGCAAACTGTGGAATCCAGTTTGTGAGACTGGGAGTATTTCTAATACATTCCTACAAAGACAGAAGCTCTTAGCTCTTTGGAGATGGGTATTTAGCCATTTAAAGCTTTGGCTATGTAGCTGTCATATCGGGGCAGACAGCACAAGATTCAGTGCCCTCTGGTATTCTATATGAGACATTATTACTTCCTCTTAATAGATCCCTTCAGGGAGTAGGGCTGGTGAAAGCAGTTAGGCAGTGAGAAATAGTGATGATATGCTTTTTCGTGGGGTTACTCTCATGTTCCTGGCTTGCTGACACGAATGAGTTTCCTTGCCATGGCTTTTTGTTTGCCTAAAGACCTGCTGCTGTGTTAGAGCAGGACTTCAGGAGAGGAGAATAAGGTGGCCAATGACTCTCACTAATGAGGCAAAAGAAGCATTTGCATGAGTATTGCAGAGGACTCCTTTTGCTGCTCTTCACCCCCAAATGTCTGAAGCTCTGTGCATTTCTGCTTTAAAGATACATACAGGTGCTTTTGCAGTGCTGCCTAGGATCAGTTACTACACTGGAGAGAAGTGCATAGCTTGGTAGTGAAGCAAGTCTTTGTCATTCTTCCCTGCTGTAATGCTATTTCCATGAGTTGTTCTATGAAATTTTTCTTCCTTTCTTTCTTTTTTTTTTTTTTTTAAATTCTTCTTCTTATCAGGGAAAATGTATAAAATGAAATAATTGCCCTTTTTAGAGCCAAACACCAGCACACTGCCAAGCATAAATGTCTGTCTGGCTGCTCAGGATTGTGGCTGAATCCAGAAGAAGCTGAGTGCTTCTTGATAGTAACTTATTTTTAAGCAAAGCAGCAGAAACTTGTACGATCATTTTGATTTGAGTAACAGGTTGGGTTCTTGTAGCAAAAGTAGAATCTCATCGCGGGGCAGCAGCTTGTTGCAAGGAGTCTCAGATGCTCAGACTGGAGAGCATCCTGACTGAGGAAGCAATGAGATGAAAGGGCTGGAATGAGACATTAGGTGCTGGAAATTTATGAGCTGGAAAGATCCCAGAGCCAATGGGTCTGTGGGGAGAGATCTTCCCCAAGTGTGACGTGAAGGTTTGAGGGAAGGGTCAGTGGAAGTGCATCAGGAGCTTCATGCAATGAACCAGGCTGTGTGTCTCTGAACGTGTCCCTCCCCCTGCCAGCTCAGTGGAATGATGCAGTTCTTAAAGCTGGCACCTGCTTCCTTGCAGTGAGTGGGAAATGCCCCTTGCTACTTAGCAAGTAAGTGTAAAAGCACTGTGAAAATGCAGCTTTTTTTGATGAATGGGAGGAGGGAATAGAAGAGTGTTACTTCAAACTGAGCTGTGAGGGAAGCAGGCAGTGGAGATTTCAGGTCTGCAGCTCAGTGTCTGCAGAGCAAGGAACGTTTAGAAATAAAACAAAAATCCCTGCAGATCTTGTTCTCTGAAAATAAACATGCTCCTGCTGAACTGGAGGCTTCTGGAACTCACTGTCTCACATTGATGTCAGCAAGTGTAAATCTCAGCTGGCTCTGATAAGTGATGCTGTTAATTGAATTAGAGAGCACTCCAAGCTGCAATTATGCTCCTCAGGAAGCTGCTTTGTCCAGGTCCATTTAATTCTATATTGGCTGAGCACTCCAATCCTGGCACAGGAGAGGGGGAATAGCTGACAGCTCCCTGCAGAGGAGCCCATTTTCCAGCTCTTTAGGCTGAGCTGCCTGCTCACTCCAAACACTTGTGCTTTCACACATAGATGCTCCATCGCAAAAAAAAAAAAAGTATTCTTAGTGTAAGATTAATGATTCAGTCACCTTATGCTAGAATATCATTACCCTGGTTTGATAGGTGACCTTCTCATTCTCCTCGGTGATGCTTTCCTTATTTCATGAAATGGTTTCCATGCTTTTATTTTACAAGTAGCTAGATCACTCATCTGGGGCATAGAGATTCTCAGAGAGCTTTGGTCATGAGCTTCTGTTGCACACCTGTGTCCTGAAGGTGTGAGGTCTGACTCATGTGGCATAGATTGAGCTTCTTACTGCCTGTTCTTTCTGGCATTCCCTTCTCTTCTTCCTTGTGAAGCTTCATTCTAAATTGTCTGGAGTGAGAAGTTCAGGTTGCAAGATGCAGTTAGGAAGAACCCCCCCACCCTCATATGTTTCCAGCTGCTTCCACTCCATGTCAATCTCTGCATTTGGGAGTAGTGACATGAACATCTTCACTTTATCCTTGCTTCCACTGGTGTTAGTAGAACAGGGCTGTTGAGGCCAACAGGTAATTTGCGGAAGTCTGCTCAGCACTAAGTAGCACTGTGCTCCCAGTTCTGCTGGGCCTACTGTCTGCAGTGCACCTCTGTCCCAACTGGAAACTACTCTGGGTGATGCAGCTATTGTTTCTCTAGAAACAAATAACCTGACCCTGCCATCTTTGAAGCTCTCCAAGACCTGAGCAGACTTTGCCTGTTGCCTGGCTCTGACCTGGAGACAGCCTTTCTGTAGCAGTGTTCCATGTCGCTTGGAGTGACTGTGGACTTCATCTTGCCACCAACACATTGCTTATGAGCAGTGTGCTGATTGAGGCTACACACTCATGACCTCCTGGGGCCAAATTTAGAAGCAAATGCAAATAGAACATTATATATGTTAACTGCCATCTTTGTATATATGTCATCTGTCATCTTCACCCCTTCCGTGCGCTATCTGTCTGATGAAGCGAGGTGGCAGGAGGTAAAGATTTGTCTGACTTCAGAATTGTCTCATGCTTTTTGTGCTGCAGAAGCATCATCAACTGTGAACTAGAAGCAAGGCCTCCAGGACTCTGCTCCTTTGTTACCAGCCACAGAGAGCACTACCTTGCCTTTGTCCATCCTGGAGTCTTTGTTTTATTGAGAAAGTTGTTGCTTAGCAGGCACAAAGACTGAGCTTATCGCTGTGGTGTGGTATCATTTGCCATGACATTTTCAGGGATTCATATTTTTATATGTCAGTTTCAGGCCCCTCACTACAAGAAAGACAGCGGGGCCTTGGAGTGTGTCCAGAGAAGGGCAACGAAACTGCTGGGGGATCTGGAGCACAGCCCTTATGAGGAGCTCCTGAGGGAGCTGGGATTGTTCAGTCTGGAGAAAAGGAGGTTCAGAGGTGACCTCATTGCACTCTTAACTACCTGAAGGGAGGCTGTGGTGAGGAGGGGTTTGGCTTCTTCTTGCAGGTAACAAACAGGGCCCAAGGAGATGGCCACAGGTTGTACCAGAGGAGGTTTAGGTTAGACATAGGGAAAAACTTCTTCTCTCAGACAGCAGTCAGGCACTGGAATGGCTGCCCAGGGAGGTGGTGGAGTCGCCGTCCCTGGCAGTGTTCAAGAGGTGCCTATGAGATACGGCTTAGTGCTTGTGGTAGCAGTGGTGATGGGAGGATGGTTGGACTAAATCTTGTAGGTCCTTTCCAAGCTTGTGATTCTATGATTCTGTGAAAAGAGCAAAACTCCAAAATTTCTGTGTTCATCAAAGTTTGTCTGCCTTCAGGCACTTGTGGAAGAATAGATGATCAGAAAGATTGGATAGAGAAGAGGCAATGCCAGGAGTTAAACACAGCCTTGCTATCTTTCACCTTCAGGATGTGCCCTGATGAGTGGGAGGCAGCTGTATGATTCTGAAGGCCCACAGGGCTATACTGTCTGCTCTTTGGACCCTGATAACCTGGAACTAAGCTGCTTTTGATAAATACCCTTCTTTTGATAAATACCTCACTCTAACATCCTATTGGAATGGTTAGCAGGCAAGCTGACTCCCTCAAGTTGGTGATGCTGGCACAAACCAGTTTTGGTCCCATGGACAAGAAGAAAAAGGGACTGGGCTTGGTATGCTTGTTCCATTGGCATTCCTTACATCACTGACTCACCAGCACAGATATTTTGCAAACCTTCTTTTGTGTTGCTTTGAACTAATGAATACGTTAAGAATGATCTATCTTTCCCTTTCTGGTTTCAGGTCTTCAAAGCTGCTGCGTGCATTCTACGTCCCTGTCCTCTCAGAAAGGTACACACAGTATGCAAACTACACTATTCTGAAATCCCGCAGATTGAAACAAACCAAGAGAAAAACAGCAACACACCTGGGTAACAAAACCAACTGACACTCTGGGACAGCTGCCTAAGCCTTCTTCAGTTTCCTTTCTGAAAGATTGTGCTTGTAAGATCCACTAATAAAGATTTCCATGAAGTGATTTTACTCTGCAAGCTTCCTGCTGTAAGGATACATCATCTGCTTTCAGTTCTCAGAGCCAGGTGTCTGCTATGCCTGCACAGAACCTATTGGTTTAGAACCAGCTGGAACATCCAGCACCACCTACAAACATACTATCTCTGCTGCTCCCTACCCGTTATACCAGAAAAGAGAAAAATGGAAAATAAAAAGAAATTACAATATCAGGTTCTGTTCCAGGTTGTAGTCTGGCATGTGGAAAATCCAGCTTTACTCCCCATCTCTCTGATGCTGCGCAGAGAAAGCAGAGAAAGCAGAGGTTGAACTGTAAGAGAAACTTGGAAGTGTAGGGAGAGGCATTCTGAATCCTCTGCCTTTCTTTGGAAAGTCTTTCAATGGCATTGTGCTCTGATAGAGACAGCTTATATACATATGGTAAGAGCAAAGGCACTTTGGTTGATGGCAGCCTGGAGAATGCAGTGTGCTACTCCCACTGTATGGGGAAATAGACTGAAGCTGGGACTGTGAATTTAAACTTGGAAAGGTTTAGGGGGATCATTTGTGATGTTGGTGTCCTGGCCTTGCTCAGAGAATGGACTTTACCCCCATGTGAGTATCCTAAGAGTCAAATGTGGAGCTCAAGGATTTCTGCTGTGCAGTTGGTGTGCTGCGTGAGTTGGTTTGGGGCTGTGCTCACAGCATTCCCTCCCAGCCTTCAGCCTGCACTTCCCCTCGTGCAAACACACGTCAAACAGGGCCCTGCAGTGGTGAACCAAAATCAGATCTGTGGCCCTGTTTGTTTCCTCTCCCCTTGCTAATCTCTGACCTTAAATAAAGAAACAAATGTAGCTGAAGAATCAGCTGCACCTCTCCCTGGTGCTGTTTGTGCAACTGTTCTATGCTGTCGTAGCCCTTAATCTCATGTTTAATGTGAAAAGACAGTGCAGTAAAGATGTGTTTTAAATGGCTGTGGCTGATCCACCTTCCTCTCTAGTTTAATTCATAAGTCAGGGCTGTTGTACACTGCCCAGTTTGAATGCGGTTGCGTGTGCAAAGAGGTTTGTTCCAAAAGGTAAAGCCATGTCCAAAAAATCCCCCCAAGCACATTTGTAAAGGGGTTTTGTAGTTTGCTTTTCTGATTTCGTTAGCAAACTTGTGGGGAGGGCCTTCACATTTTTTGTTTGTTGTTACTTTGACCTTTATTAAAGCAAATGCATGATCTTGTTACGAGGAGACAGGTTTGGAACAGCTAATTTATAATCTGTATTAAAAAAATAAAATCTCGTGGCTAGCAACCTTGGGGACGAACGATCAGACCAGAGACTGCTCCAGGGGTTCCTAGCCCTGGGCAGGAGGGAGGCTGTGCCATACCTGCTGGGGAGCGTGCTGGGACAGTGCCTGCAGACTTGGATTGATTTTTGTAGCCTTCATCTCTGTTCTTCAGGGGTCGAGGTGTGTGGAGCAGGCAGCTTCCTGTGTTGCATTACAGCATGCAGATCTCTGTAAAGCATGGTGTAATGCTGCAGGGATCAGAATGAAATTTGGTACCTACTACAATGATGTTCAGTTTCGAGTCTCTCTCAGGATTTGGGTCCACCTGACATCCAGCAGGAGGTACCGAGTGGGTCTGCTGTGTGTTTATTTTGCTGTAAGAGGGGCTTCAAGTGGTGGTGGTTGAGAGAACCCCTGGTAATGGAATTCTGTTCTTCTGAGCTCCCATCTCTGCAGATGCTGCTGGGGGAATGAACTGTGAATTTCTTTTTCCTCCAGCATCTGTCCAAACCTAATAATCATCCCAGCCCTGCTAAGATTCTGCATTTTCCTATGAGTAACTTCATGTGTGTTTCAGATTCAGGTGGAGACCTGCTTGCCTGGAGAAGAACTGAGGAGGCCCCATCTGTCTGCTTTGCAAACTCCAGCTCTGTCTGCTAAGCAAACAAGGTCAGTGTGGATGCACAGGGCCCAGCAGCAACACCCAGGAGGACTCTGGATACAAACGCAGTGCTGTTGCTGCCTGCTGCCCAGCTCTGTGTTGGGGCAGCAGCAGTGCAGGGTTGGGGTGCTGCAGCCAGGGCATGTCAGGAGCCCTTGGCTGTGGGGCCAGGGAAGATGCTGAGGTGAAGGTGGAGGCTCCTGGATCTCCTCCAAGTGTGTGCACATAATTAGGTGGGTCTGACTAGGGAGCTAGGGAGCTGTGTTCTCTTGCAGTACTGTTGCTTGCTTGCCCTGGACCTCTATGGATCCTGCTTGGAAGGCGAATTACAAATATATAATGATTATATATATTATAATATATAATGATATATATATATCATATATATATTATATATGATTATAAATATATCAGAAACAGCCTTCAGACAACTTCTGGTAGGACAGAGCAATCTTTTTATGTTCCATGCAGCACAGAGAAGGTTGCTCTGGCCTTCTCTGGTTTCTAATAGTCCCCTGTGGCACTGGTGTAATACTTGTCCTGCCAAGAGTGGGTAGAGGTGTTCTCAGGAGGCTTCCTCTGCCCTGTGCTTAAACAGGCTGGTTGGAAAGACTGTCTTAGAGCAGAAGGAGCAGGGCAGAAATCAGATCACTGCCATTCCTCTGCCTCAGAACACGTGGTCCATGTGCTGCCCTGGGCTGCAAAGCCCAGCCCTGTTTCTCCTCCATACAACCAGGAGGCTGTTTGGACCTTTCCTGTTTTCAGTGTCTGCCTTCTCCTTGGTTGGGGCCGTTCACTTTTAAGATGTTGTGTCTGAATCAGCAAGAAGCAGCAACAGGGCTGCTGGATGAAGGCTTTGTGGTGAGTTCATTGGCTGTTGCCCATACCCGATTGGGTTTGAGCCCAGCCCTGCGGTCAAGGCACAGCAGTAGCAAATCTAGAGACTTGGTTTTTCACCTTGATTTTGGGGCAGATTGCATTCCATATCTCTAACATTCCTTCCAGCTGCAAAATCTTTGAGACAGGTGCAGTCCTTGCTCGCATGTCACAGCACATTGCAGTGTGTGTTCCTGGACTCTGCTCAGTACTGCTGCAGCTGTGCAATCCTCAGCTCACAGCTTCTCAGGAATATGCTCTGGGGACTTCCAGAGCAGAGGGAGGATGTGCAGATGCAGCATTAGGAGCAGTCTGTGTCTTTTCAGCTGGGGATATACAGGGAGAGTGGAGTAAAGTGTGGGGATGGAGGAAAGGAGGAGGTGGAGCAGAGAACTGTGCATGTGTGAGAAGGTTGCTTGGCTCAGGTGATGAGGGGAAGGTTGGGAGGGACTGCTGACAGAAAAGCTTAATCTACTCTCGGCTTCCAAGCATTGTTATGATCCTTCAGCTTTTCCTGCTTCCCATGCAGCATCCTTGGCAGGCTGATGGCCACCTGCAGCTCTCAGGGATGGGGACAGCAGTTTGCAAATGGAGAGGTTTACTGCAAAGAATAGACCTGTTCTGTTAGGCCGACCTGTCTCTGGAACCTGTGGCTGTAAGAACTCACCCGTAAGTGGGGTCACACAGGTAGAAATCTTTGCTTTCAGTCCCATTCATCCCTTCCAGTCTCGCTTAACTGCCTCCTTTCACTTAGCCTTCCTGTCTTCAATCTAGCAGAATTGACTGACAGATACTTTATTTCTGTTGGTCCAAAGCAAATAGTTATTCTTGTACAGGGGCTGATGCAGAAGCCACAGCTGTGTGGGCCTTATCCAGCTAGAGCAGCTCTGGAGCTGGGAGCTGCTGAGAAGACGTGCAGTCCTCCACCACTCTTTCAGCAGGGAAACGGGTAATCTAATTTGTGTGAGAGTGGATAACAAAGAAGAACTGATAGCTGTAGGATTTTTTTTCTTTTTTTAGCATCATAAAAATGCCCTGGGTTTCTGGTCACAGCATATATCTCATAGTATTTGGGCAGGGAGGTATTTTCTTCTAAATGCAGGCAAAGAAGAGTTTACAAGGTGCTTGCCTACAGACACAGGGCTGATAGGACTGCATTTTTACACACCCCTGTTTACTCTTGGTGTCATGTGAATTTCTTGTGAGTTTGCAGCCTGTTCTCTAGATTGGGGATGCTTTTGTTCATGAGCAGAGCCCTTGTGCAGCTCAGAACTCCAGTATCACATTCCAGAATTTGCTAAGACATTTCCTTGTTCACCCCAGTGTCATTTCCTCTGTGCCAGATCCACCCCCACAAGGAGGAGAATGAGCTGGCTTTTTCCAGTCAACATTTGTTCTTCCACACAAGCTGTTTGAATACTGTCTCTCTTGTTTTGGTATTTGTTTCTTCTGTCTTGCTGGAGTCTTGCCCCAAAGTCTCCCACATTGGCAGCTCTTGTTTGTGTAGCAATGACTCATAGAAGGCAACGTAGTGGGAGCTTTCCAAAGGTTGCCAGATCGTGTTTTCATTTTCTGTTGCATATGGAGCATTTTCCAGCTTGTCTCTTTGAAGAAAGAAGAGAGTTTGGGAAGAGGAAGTCACAGGATCATTTACTCATTCAGTCCTGCGGTGAAGTCTTGGTTCTGCTGCAGTTTTTGAGAAAACTCCCATTGTCTCTAGTGGAGTTTGTGTACGTTGTTATCAGGATGAGGACATCCCAGGCTTGTTTTGGACATTCTCACCTCCCCACTTTCCTGCCTGTTTATCTGTGCTCCATCCCTGTGTCTTCGGTCTGCAGTCCATAGAAGGGCCTCATTGGAGGGGAGCTCAAAGCCGGTGGGCCAGTGCCACCCCTGGCCGTGGGCAGGGCTGGCCCCCACCAGCTCAGGCTGCCCAGGGCCCCATCCCACCTGGCCTGGAGTGCCTGCAGGGATGGGGCACCCACAGCTCTCTGGGCAGCAGTGCCAGCGCCTCACCAGCTCATTGCATGTGCTGGCGGTGAGTTCTGGCTACATTTTTCCATGTCATCAGGTCTTCGGCTTGTGCACTGCTACCATGCTAACCTGGTCTCTGCTGGTGATAATCCGTGCTTGCATTCCTTGCAGCGTAAAGGTATCAGGGATGCTCACCAACAATATTTTTGGGGGAATCCTGGTAGAAAACTTTCCCCAGA